ACTATAAAACACTGTTAAAAGAAATAGAAGAAGACACAAAGAAATGGAAAGACATCCCCTGCTCATGGATTGGAAGAATAAACATTATTAAAATGGCCATCCTACCAAAAGCAATATACAGATTCAATGCTATTCCAATCAAAATTTCAATGTCATTCTTCAAAGAAATAGAACAATTATTGATGAAATTCATATGGAATCACCTAAAACCCCGAATAGCCAAATCTCTCCTGAAAAAAAAAGAAGGGAATGGAGGCATCACACTCCCAGACTTCAAACTATACTACAAAGCCATAATCATCAAAACTGCATGGTATTGGAACAAGAACAGACATACAGACTAATGGAATCGAATAGAAAATCCAGAAATAAACCCACAGATTTATGGTCAACTAATCTTTGACAAAGGAGCAAAGACTATGCATTGGAGCAAAGAAAGTTTGTTCAATAAATGGTGCTGGGAAAACTGGGTCGCTACATGCAAAAGAATGAAGCTTGACCACTACCTCACACCATACACAAAAATCAACTCAAAATGGATTAAAGAACTAGACATAAGACCTGAAACCATAAAATACATAGAAGGAAATATAGGCGAAACACTACGTGATTTGCACATCAAAGACATCTTTACAGACACATCATCCAAAGCAGTGATAGTGAAGGCAAAGATAAACAGCTGGGACTCCATCAAATTAAAGAGCTTCTGCACAGCAAAAGAGAAAATAACAAAAACAAAGAGAAACCCCACCGACTGGGAGAACATTTTTGCACACAACACTAATGGTAAAGGACTGATCACAAAAATCTGCAAAGAGCTGATGAGACTCAACAACAACAAAGAAAATAATCCAGTCAAAAAATGGACGGAAGAGCTAAAAAGAAACTTCTCTGAAGAGGAAATGCAAATGGCCAACAGGCATATGAAAAAATGTTCAACGTCACTTGTCATCAGGGAAATGCAAATCAAAACTACCATGAGATACCATCTCACACCAGTAAGAAAGGCACATATTAAAAAAACTAGCAACAACAACTGTTGGTGAGGGTGTGGAGAAAAAGGAACTCTCCTGCACTGTTGGTGGGAGTGCAAACTGGTCCAACCACTATGGAGAGCTGTGTGGAGATTTCTGGACCTACTAAACATAGAGCTTCCATATGATCCAGCAATTCCACTCCTAGGTATTTACCCAAAGGACACAGAAACATCAATTCCAAAGAGCACCTGCACCCCTATGTTTATAGCAGCACTGTTTACAATAGCTAAGCTTTGGAAACAACCCAAATGCCCAAAAATAGATGACTGGATCAAGAAGATGTGGTACATATACACCATGGAATATTACTCAGCATTCAAAAAAGATAAACACATGCAATTTGCAGCAACATGGATGGTGCTGGAAGGGATCATGCTCAGCGAAATAAGCCAGAAAGAAAAAGAAAAATACCGGATGGTCTCACTCATAGCAGGAATCTAGAAAACTTAAATAAGGGACCAGGAAAATGAATAACTGTGAGAAAGTGAAAATCAAAATCAACAAAAAACTATGAACCAGAGACACTTTTTGGGGGGTGGGGGGTGGGAGGGGAGGGATTGGGGTCAGAATGGGGCATGTGCAGTTGTATGGGGGAATATAAAAATAAAATTTATTATTAAAATAAAAAAGACCAAGGGTTCCTTTTATACAGAACTGGGTCCATATCTGTTACACTGATAATGTCGTTTTTCAGCAGGCTCAACCATTTGCAGCAAAGTCCCCAGACAAGGGGGGGGGGCAAGGCAAGGCTGGAAAGATGCAGGCATTTGGGGATGGCCTTGGAGAGATAGACCAGCTGGTTGGCTGCCCGACCTTATAGGTAAGGGTCCTGAGGCCCTGGCCATGAATCTTGCGAAGGAAGGAGCTGTAAGTAAGTAAGCTTGTTAATTATATGTTCATTGCACCTGGGCTGGAAGTTCTGTTGGAATCTTTATTATATTCATTTGCTCAATAATATATTTTCTCATTAATGGAAGCCAGTATGGAGAGTCCTCAAAAAATTAAAAATAGAAATTCCATACATCCAGGTATTTACCCCCAAAATACAAAAACACTCATTTGAAGAGATAGATGCATCCCATGTTTATTGCAGCATTATTTATAATAGTAAAGAACTGGAAACAGCCTAAGTGTCCTGCCACTGAGGAATAGATAAAGAAGATGCAGTCTATGTACTCTAAGCCAAAAAAGAGAAATCTTACCATTTTCAAGAATGTGAATGGACTTAGAGGGAATTATGCATAGTGAAATAAAACAAACACCAAAAGATTTCACTTGTATGTGGTATACAGAGAAAACAAACAGATGAACTAAATAAAACAAAATAAACCTGTGGACAGTAAGGCCAAATAGTGGTTACAAGAAGGGAAGGGAAGAGGAAAAAGGCCTGGATGAATCGGGAAAAGGGGACTGATGGCATGGTGAAGGGTAGATTTGGACCTTTGGCAGCGAACTTAAGTAGCATACACACATGTGGAGCATTTTTTTTTTTTAGATTTATTTATTTATTTATGAATACAAGAACCGGGGTGTAAGCCAGAGGTGTGGGGTGTGGGGTGAGAGGATTCACCTGAGAGAGTGGGGAGCAGAGCAGGCAGATCCACTGAAATACACTGCTGAGCGGAGTGGCGGGTGAGACAGAAGAGGTCTGCTGCGCCATGTGAGTAGCTCCCTGGCCAGCCAGAGATCCAATTCATGCTGCAGTGTCTGGTGACAGCTTGATAGCACTGTCTTTAACCCCTGGGCCACCAGGGAGGCCCCACATGTGGATTCTCAATGATGAACATTAGAAACATATAATTTTAATACAATTGAATACAATTTCAAAAAGAATTAAAAAAACAGTAAAAACCAAAAAACTGAATCAGAGTATTTTGATTCAAAATGTAAAAGCTACAACAGGGTATTAGTGGTTTAAGTTTGTTTCCTGCCAGTGAAACAAACACCCTTTCTTTGTAGTGTCTACTTTCTATGAAGTAGTCAGATATAGTAATAATAAACACATGGGGCCTTTCTCATGGTGCAGGAGTTAAGTCTCAGCACTATCAAGCTATCACCAGCCACTGCAGTGTGAGTTTGATCCCTAGCCAGGGAGGTGACCCACATGGCACAGCAGACCTCTCCTCTCGCCCGCTGCTCCTCTCAGCAGTGTATTTCAGTAGAATCTGCCTGTTCTGCTCCCCATTCTCTCTCCGGTAAATCCTATCACCCACTGTACCTCTGGCCTACACCTCAGTTCTCGTATGCATAAATAAATAAAAATAAATCTTAAAAAAAATAAAAAGAGGGCCTCCCTGGTGGCGCAGGCGGTTGAACGCAGCTCTGTGAAGCTGTCCGCAGCCTCTGCAGTGCCGGTTTGATCCCCGTGTGCCACGAAGCAATACACATGGTGCGGCAGACCTTTCCTGTCTCGCCCCTCGCTCCCCTCAGCAGTGTATTTCAGTTAGTCTACCTGTTCTGTTCCCCACTCTGTCTCTGGTGAATCCTCTCACCCCCACACCTCTGGCCTGTACCCCAGCTCTTGTATGCATAAATAAATAAATCTTAAAAAATAAGTTTGTTTCCTGCCAACTCCTCATCCCCCATTAGCTCCCCAACCAAGGATCCCTCACTCCAGGTTTCTTCTGTATCATGCATAGAGGCTTTTAGTAGAGGGGGAAAGGAAAAATGAGTGCATTGGAGAAGTGGGGTGGGACGGTAGGAATGTGGCCTGCAGTGGGACTGGGAGGCCAGGCTGCAGCTTGGAGTCCAGTGAAGTGGGAGGGCCTGACTGGTGCTCAGCGATGGGGTCAGTCCAGGGGCACCAAAGCCTGATCTAGATTCCTCACAATGGCAGGAAGTTCTAAAGGAACAGAGAACAGGAGGGCTCATGTCCTTGTCCTCACCCTCTCCCTCCTCAATGAGTCAGAGGAGCCAGTCCCTAGAGGCCCCCAGGCTCCTCCTAATTGCAGAGTTCCCATTTCCCTCCACCTGGACCAGCATTTCTGCACCAGGGTGGGGCACAGCAGAGCCCAGGCAGTACCTGCTGGGGCCCAGACTGTTTTGCATGGAGGAAGGAGGAAGGACGGTGAAGACTTACAGGAAGATAATAGTCATGGGCAGGGAGGACCCTCGCCCAATGCCCTGTTGCTGACGGATTCCACAGCCGTCACCACCACTGAAACTAGACAGGAGGGTGATTGGTTGTCCCATGTGGCCCTGATGCTGCAAGGTCAACTTCAAGTGTCAGGGCAGGGTTAGATCCCTGTCACCCTCACCAGCCCGTGACAGTGCTGAGCCCACCCCTCACCTTCTCTGTGAACCTCATCTGTCACCATAGGACACCAGCCACATCTCCCTCGGGGCTCCCAGGAGGACCCCACGTGAAGATGACAGTGAGGTGACCCTCAATCCTCCCTGCACTGGGAGTTCCCAGAGGACAGAAACTGCTGCAAACCAAAAGGTTAGTTGAGGGCTCAAGGTTTGAACCAGCATTGTCCAGGACCCTAGCCCACCTGGTTGGCTGCCAGCTGTATAAACATGGGAGTTTGTTTGACCTCTCAGCACCTCCATACCCCTGAATGAGGGAGATAGATGCAACTCATAGAGCAGGGAGGATTGAGGAGGAGGCAGGACAAAAGGTGTCCTGTCTGACACACTCAGGGCTCTCCCGGACAGGGGGCTGTGGTTGATTAGCCCAGTGAGGGGCAGGACTGGGGGAGTGAAAGAACGCCCGCCCCACTGCACCTCCCTGAGGCCACACTTCCATCCTCCCTGACCCCAGACACCCAGTCTTCCCTGCCCTCCTCCCTGCCCTGGGTGACACATCCAGGGTCGCCCACTGCAGATCACTTGGGAAGGACAAGGCTCAGGGGAGGACTCTTGAGAGCTGCAACACCACAGGCCTGGAATTGTGTGGGAAAAGCTGACACTCCCTTCTAGGTGTGTCCCCACCCTGTGGGGCAATGCAGGAAGCAGACAGCATCCCTGCCCCAGGGCTCCCAGCCCCTGGGAAGAGCCAGTCTGAGCATTATAAAGGGCCCAGGCTCTGCCCAGCTGCACATCTCACTGCACGTTCCCTGCCACAGCTGCTTCTTCCTCAGCTCTGGTGAGTCTGCGCTGCCTCTGTCTTTTCTAGCGGGAGGGCCAGGCCCAGCAGCTCTGCTGCCTTAGGAGCTGGGACAGCAGCCACAGGACAGGGTCTGGAGCCTGGTCCCTCACAGGCCTGCCCCTTCAGGTTGCTGACTTTCACCCCAGCTGAGGTCCTCACCAGATGACTGGACCAGGGACACCCATTACTCCTTTTGGCTCCTCTGACAACTCTGGGCCAGTCTTCCCCAGTCGGGTAGCCTGGCAGGTCTCCAGAATCAGGCCAGGGCTGGTTTCTCTGCTCACACTCGCCAGCACCCCCACAGGATCCTTCAGGAGCACCACAGCCTAGTGCAAGCACAGGGGCTTCCTGGTCCTGGTGGGGCCCGGCCCAGGCCTGTCCCCACCAGAAGCCCCGGGGACGCAGAACCAGCATGGCAAGGACACTGAGGGGTCTGGTGCCTTTAATCCTGACATTGAAGCTGAAGGGGAAGGAGTCAATGTCTTGAAATGTGGGGATTCCTGATGCTGTCTCTCTCAGGGTCCTACCTCAGGAGTTGCCCTTTCAGGGATGCTGCCCCTATCTCTGTATCTGCATCCTCTCAGCCCTGCCCCCAGTGGACTCTGCTGTTCTCCCTCAGCCTCTCTGCACCCTGGCCTGAGTGACAGGGGCTCAACCTGGACCCCTCACTGCCCCTCTGAGCTTCTGAACCCAGCAACACAGGGACATGTGCTTCTCCTCCTCCGAATCCACGCTCCTCAGCACTCTGGTCCTAACTAGAGACACTGCTGTGGGGGAGGATTAAAAGGTCCTTGTCTCTCTGCAGCTTTTGTGACAGACACCATGGGCAGCACTCCAGCTGAGAAGGCCATCCTGGGCACCATCGACGTGTTTCACAAATACAGTGGAGAAGAGGACACAATTGACGAGTCAGGCCTGAAGAAGTTGATGAAGGAGAATTTCCCCACCTTCCTGGCTGCCTGTGTGAGTCGGGGTCTGCTTCTTAATGTTGCTGGGGTCCTGCTCTGGCTGAGGACACACTGGCTGTGTGTGACCTTGCACAATCACTTTCATTCTCTGATGCTCCAGTTTTTTCTCTGCAAAAGCACCTAGAATGACTCTCTATCCCAGGTTATTATCAGGCTGCAGAGAGATGATTTATGTGGCCAAGGGTGAAAAAGTATGGAGAGGTGTCAGCAGAGGTTATGGCCAGCACAGTGAACAGGTTCCCTGTCCCCAGTCCCAGGCCCTCCTCAGCCTGACCTCCAGAGGCCCCATCCATGTCCCCAGAGCACTAGAAATCCCATTGCTGAGAGAGCTAGACACGCCTCTGTCCATGTCCATACTCACCCACAGCCTGATTTCTTCTGACCATCAACTGTCCTGAACTGCTCAGCAGAGGGACACTGAGGGGCTGCTAGTGACACAAACACCAGGGAAGCAAGAAGGGGCAACTGAGGGCCAGTAGGACTTGGCAGGAGCCAGAGAAGATGGAGTGAAGGGGTGAAAGGTTAGGATGAAGATGCCCAGTGATAGGCCCATTTGAGTCCAGGGATAAATTCAGCAGGTGTCGGCTTAAAGGAATGGGCAGGTGCTGGGCACATGACCACCCACAGCACATCTGGCAGTGGAGTTCCAGTCAGAGCCCACTCACCACCCGAGGGCTCCCGTTCCCACTGACATTTCTGCCAAGCATCCTCCCTCAAGGCCTGTGAGTAACATGATGTCCTCCGTCCTCAGTCACACTGGCCATACCAGTGCAGGTGGCTGTTGCTGCCTCCTCCTTTCTGCTGCCCACCGTAGCTCCATTGAGACTGACTCTCTCTTGTTTTATGTCTCTCCCCACAGGACAAAAAGGGCACTGATTACCTGGCCAGTGTCTTTGTGAAAAAGGACAAAAATAAAGACAACAAGATCGACTTCTCTGAGTTTCTATCCTTGTTGGGGGACTTAACCACAGACTACCACAAACAGAGCCATGGAGGTGAACCCTGCTCAGGGGGGAACCAGTGACCCCACCTCATCCAGACCTCCAGAGACCTCCCAAAACAATAAAGTGTCTCTTCTCACTAGAAACTTGTGTTATTTCCTCTTTGTGTGTGTGTTTCTTAGAACAGAAAATTGCTGGTTTACTGCTTCATTGTTTCCCCACTAGATGCAGAGCTCCTTCCCAGCAAATGTTTATTCTCAGAGTGTGCCCACCAGGGCCTGAAACTTGATTAGATTTCAGGCCCTAAGATTCATGTGCTCCCGACATCAGAAAGCGGGAGTTCTGACCAGTTGGGTAAGGAGCAAGCTAGAATTTTCACTGGAGCCTGCCAGCGGCCACATGGCACTAGTTGTTTACTCTTTTCTCTCATGAGTGGGAAGGGCAGCTGGGCTGACCAGCCCTCTGCACTGTGACCAGGGCCCGGAAGCGGAGTCCTTGCTCCTGTGTTGTGTCTCTGTGTTTGGATCAACGTGGGCAGACATTATCTTTGGTCTTTCAAATATGGTTTGCTCAATTGCATGCATCTAGCTGGACACTGGGGATGCAAAGGTAAATGAATCAGTCCTTACCGCACACTTGAAATTCGGTACAAGTCTGATGGAGTCAGGTCCATACTCCTGGGTTGGTGGTTGTGGAGAGAGGGTGGCATTTATGCACCAGGGGGAGGGGCAGTCGGTTGCCAGCTCTTCTGAGTCAGGAACTGTGCTCATCAGTGAGGTTGTGGAAATAAAGATGATGGATGGCTGCCCCTCCCCAGAAAACATCCATTTCAAAACGCTCCACTGGGGGCTGCTAACTCTTCCCTTCTAAGCCCTCAGGCCTGGGGGCAGAATCAGTATTTGTCTCCACTCCAGTGCCATTCAGACTATTTCCCAATTGTTCCTCATGCTCTCACCCCTTCCCCCATCCTCAGCGCTCTTGTCTTTCTACCCTCTGTTTCTCTTCCTTTCTAATTACATTCTTCTGGTGCCTGGAGGGATTTGACATTGGCCTGCATTTGCTCCTTTACTGGGAGACATATATGGAGTGACTTCACAGTCTTAGACTGAATTTCCTGGAAGTGGAGATGAAGATGGGGATACTTGGGCAAAGGATTTATTGAGGAAGAGCTGTCAGGAGAAGTGGACAGGAAGTGAAGGGAAGAGCACAGGCCAGGGGAAGAAGTGGGGCAAAGATGGGAGCTTAGCTTCAGCCTGATTCCATTCTGCAGCCAGAATGGAGCCATTAGAGTTGTCCCACCTTGAGGCAAAGAAGCCCACATTTTTATGTCCCTATATCTGATACCGGAATTGCCAGGCCTAGTCTCCCAGCCAGGAACGGATCCCAGGCTGCAGGGGCAGCGCTGAGTCCCAGCCGCTAGACCCCCACGGGTTGGTGTCTCACTAAGCCGCAGCAGGAACTTTGCAGACTCTCAAGCAAGCAAGCGAGAAGAGGCCGGTTTGTTTAGAGAAAGAAAAAGTTTATTGAGGAGAAAAAGAGCAGAAATAAAGTGGGACTCCCAGGCCAGGGAACCAGGCCTGGGAGGGGCAAGGAAGCCAAAGTGGAGTCGTGTCTCAGGGAATATAGACCTTCTTTCCCTCATTATTCTAAAGCTGCCCCAGTCTCTTTGTGATTGGTTAGTTCTCAGCTGTTTCACTTAATTTGCTACTGAGTGGGGGATCTTCACATTCCTTATCTAACAGCTTTCTCTTTCCCCATTTGTTACTTCTTTATCTTTATGGCCCAGTCCTCGGATGAGCATCTCTGCATTGAAGTTAAACAGCTGCCCTTCTAAGTTGTCCATAAATTAAACCACTCCCCATTTCTCCAATCTCTGCCTCCCTTTATCACCTGAAGGAAACCAAGGCCAGCGTTAACAATGTTGTCCATGATCCTGAGATGTTTGTTTTTCCAGGTGGAATTAGTTACATTCCTCTTGCTGCCCTTATTTCTGAAGCCTTCCTCAACTCTCTGAGGTCCCCTCCTGTAGTGTCCCTAAAACTGCCTAATTCCTAGCTTGCCCTGTGTCTCATATCCATAGGCCCCACCTCCACCCGCAGCCCTTGGGGGGCATAGCTTTCTGGGCATTTGTGATTTTCAGGCCTGAGCAAGAGCAATTCTTAGAAGGGTTGCAGGTAGCACTGATGGAGTTGGGAGACAGGCACACCGACTGGACAGGAGGGGCTGTCACAGCATCAACCTTAGTCCACCTCTGTACCCACAAAGATCATTTGGTTCTCATGTCAAGTTCATGCCAGGCAGGGAGAGAGAAGGTTTTTGCAATGTTTATGAGAGGAGGGTTCGTGGGCTACTGTCATCCACACTGCTGCAGTTGTTTTTGAGGTCACAATGGATACTCATCCTCTTCTTCCTCTACTACGTTTCTAGATTTCATTTCTATTGGTCTAGGTGACTTGCCATCATTCCTGGGGGATGTGGGCTGCTCTTGATTCCCATGCACTTATTGAGTCATGGTTGCTATATTTACCCATTTAGAGTTAAAACAGGACATAGGAATAACAATGCACAGCCCAGTGGATATCCTGAGCGCCAAAATATCCTCCTGGTCCTGTTAGGTAGCAGCAGTTTCAAAGGATGATTGTGGTCAATGACCCTTCCAATGAAGTTTTTTCTTTTTTGCCCGCTGGCAAGTTCAGAGTGGCCAGGCAGAAGTAAATGGCTGCAGGGTCCTTTGGGAAAAAGACTGGGGGAATCTCTACTATACACACTTTTTGTGTGTTGCAGGGTCTTTTTTTAATTTTTTTTAAATGGCCCTGGGAAAGAGGATGAGGTCCCCTCTCTTTGTTACTTCTTTCTACATGTTCAAGCCATACTCTTAAGAAAGTTCTACCTAAGCTCTATCTGAAATCTCCCAGGTACAGTTTAAATTATCTTTTGTTTTGTCCTCAGTGAATAGGAGACTCTGGTTGTCATCCTTTGAGAATATTCCTTCAGGGACTCATTATTATTATTGTTATTTTTTAAAATAAGATTTATGCATACAAGAGCTGGGGTCTAGGCCAGAGGTGCGGGGGGTGAGAGGATTCACCAGAGACAGAGTGGGGAGCAGAATAGGTGGATCTACTGAAATACACTGTTAAGGGGAGCAGTGGGTGGCAAGACAGGAGAGGTCTGCTGCATCGTATGTGGGTAGCTTCCCTGGCCAGGGATGGAACTCATGCTGCAGCTGCTGGTGATAACTTGATAGCATGGAGACTTTAACCCCTGTGCCACTAGGGAAGCCTGACTCATTATTATTAACTTGGGCTTTTGCTTCTATTACAGGGCAGGAAGGGGGCACCCCAGAACCCCCAAAGCTGCCTGCCCTAAATAGTTTCTGCCATCCGTCATATCAACACAAAACATATTAGACTTTAATGAAAAGGAACTTTAATACAATTAGTAAATAATACAGGAAAGGCAAAGAATATAGTTTCTAAATCAAGCCCCAATGCCTGCCACAAGTCTAAAGCATCTTCCAGTGGGGACCCACAGAATAGGATGAGAAACAGGCAGACAAGTCTGGAAGGAAAAGAGCAAAATCAAAATCAAGACAAAACTTGCCATTGTCACCTCCTCACGGGTCTCTCACCCACATCTGTGTCACCCAGTCCACGAACAAAAGGCAAGTGCAGCTTCTTCACGCGTCTCTCGGCTCCATGTGCCTCCTCCAGGTCTCCTCCTGGCTCTCCATCCTGCTTCCTTCCTTCCTCAGTCTCCTCTCCAGCTTCTTCTTCTCCCTGTTCATCTCCACCCTCCTTTTGGGTGGGACAGGAAACCTGGAACCTCCCTCTTTCCCAGGGAACACCCTGTTACACTTCCAGATTCTGAGGAAAACTCTGGTTTTGTACTACCAATTACTTGGACCTGACTGGTTCTCCAGTAGGGGGCTGTGGAGCCCTGTGGACTTAGAAGAATTGGCGCCTGCCAAACCAAGAATGGATGAGCAGAAGGCTGAGACCAGCCATCACTGAAAATGTTCCATCCCTTACCCAGTTCCCACACCTGAGCCAGATTTGACCTAGAACCCACCAACTGAAAGTGACCTGGCCCCCAAAAGACCCTAAAACAACAATGACCAAAAAAAAAAAAAAAAAAAAAGAAACAAGAGGGGAGGCATTTGGGGAGTAATCCGAGCATGGATAAGGCCCTTCAGAAACACAGGTGTTAGAAGATAGAGTCAGTCTCAGAGACGAGCTGGATAGAAAGTGGGCCACCCATCAGAAAGTCCTTAGGAACACTGAATGTGCCCTGTGTTTCTGAAGGGCCTTATCCATGCTCGGATTACTCCCCAAATGCCTCCCCTCTTGTTTTTTTTTTTTTTTTTGGGGGTCATTGTTGTTTCAGGGTCTTTTTGGGGCCAGGTCACTTTCAGTTGGTGGGTTCTAGGTCAAATCTGGCTCAGGTGTGGGAACTGGGCAAGGGATGGAACATTTTCAGTGATGGCTGGTCTCAGCCTTCTGCTCATCCATTCTTGGTTTCTTTTGATTGTATGTATTAAGCACCCTTATTGACTACTTCAGAATTAGAGGGAGCACAGTCCACAAGTCTGCCCTCACTGCTCTCACCAATTGTAAGTCCAAGGGGTTCCAAGATCAGCCCAAGTTTTGATAATTCACTGGAAAGACTCACAGAACTCACTGAAAGCTGTTGTACTTGTGGTTATGGTTTATTACAGAGAAAGGACACAGATTAAAATCGGTCCAGTGGAAAGAGACATATGTGGCAAGGTTAGAAAAGTTCTAAGTGTGAAGTTTCCAGTTGTCCTCTCCATATGGAGTCACAGACTTGCTGGTCACCTGGCAATGGTGTGCAACCATGCATTTGGTAGCACAACAGGACAATGCATTGGGATAGCACACCAGATCGATGCACTTGGACAGCATACCTGGACAATGCACTTGGACAGTACAGGTAGACAATGCACTTTGCTTGCTAAGGAAGCTCACCTGAGCCTTGGTGTTTAGAGTTTTCATTGGGACTTTGGGCTCTGCAGTCCAAGTGACTGAGCTCAGCCTCTCACCCCTCCAGAGGGCAAGCTGCTACCATATGGCTCAGAGCCCCCACAGTCAATATTATTGTTAGACTCTAGAAT